CCCGATTTTGCTTGATATGCATCGTGTTATCCCATTTCTAGGTCCCTACCTCAATTGTACTGGGTTTAGAACACTCTAATTGACTCTAAATAGTGCTAGAAAATAGCAAAAACGAGTCTAACCTTCATTTATTTGCATAAGAGTATAAGGTAAAAATTTCAGATTGTCACATCCGTCATTTAGTTCGGGTTGTTCAAAAGGCATCGAAGGTTCATCCGTATTATTCGGCAACAGTTGCCTCATCTCTTTCCTTTGTTCGGCCATCATTGCCCGAATCATGGCTTGTACTCCAGCCATCGTGACTGGCTCAGGTGCAGCTTCTACTATCGGCACCTTCTCAATCCCTTGGGGTTGCTGATTCCTGTTCCCATTTGCGTTTCCGAGTCCACTTCAGGTTCTTGCCATTTCGATCTATACACCAAAGTAGGTGAATTTAGATCATTATATACGATAGGCGTTTAAATCCACCTTATCATTCTGAAACGTTACATGCTAGTTCTAATATCGTAGAACGGTTAGAATCCTAAACACGTAAGGTTTCCAGATCCGGTCGGCAATAGACCATAGATCTGAACAAATAATAGCATATAAGTCAAACATAAAGCATTTAGCACATAAAAGCATTTTAGGCATCTTTCCTAAAATAAACTAGTATTCATGTCTAAAAAATAACAGACACTCACCTCACAATCATCGGTTAGCATTTTAAGTTTAAGTCTAGAAATTATACAAATTCCTAGTTCGCTTAAAACTAATGCTCTAATACCAACTGTGACATCCCCAATTTTACGTCCAGAAAAAACAGATTTAATTATGCTTCATTTGAAAATCAGAGTATACTTTAAAGAAAAATGTTGCGGAATTTGTTCCCAAAAAAAATATCGATAAGAATTTATCAAATCATTTCCGGATAAATGTATTTCATTATATTAAAAACCTCAGGATGTCATTATCAGTACAGATCAAAAGCATAAACAAAACAACATAGGCCACAAAACAACATAAGCCTCAAAAACAACATAGGCCTTACAATATTCTATTTATTTCTACTGGCCTATAATCCACAATCTCTCATTAGATCATCACATCTATGCTCTTGTGTCACTACCTGTAATACAAAAACTGAGTGGGTCGGGCTTGGGAGCCTGGTGAGCACATAGGGTTTTCAACCCACAATAGTTAAGTTTATTAACTTCATCAAATAAATCAACCCGATTACCCGTTCCCATTATCCTCACTTTATGTCCGTAAAACATCTATCATAAGGGATATATCCTAAGGAATTTCATCGGGATGGACACTACTGCTAAGGGGGTTCCTCAACAATAAATGTCTGTAAGGCAACCATGATGGGGATGGAGTACACCGGTGAACACATCGTTCACAAACACTTACAGGTTGCGAGCCTGCTAGCGTTCCACTGGACTGTCTAGAAAAGTCTGTGATCGTCATCCATACTCTGCTAGATGACTGGATCATCGTCAACACCGAGGCCTCTCATCATTTTATTTTATCACACATCAACTATTTCATCTACCCATGTTTTACTCAACATATTTGTAGATATAAAAAAACATATACAGTTTGGATCTGAAAAAATAAAAGAAGCTTAGATCTTTCATCCAGCATAGATCTATAAAATACTTATACAGTTTAGATCTGAAAAAAAAAAGTTTAGATCTTTCATCCAGCATAGATCTCAGGTAAACAGATAATATGCATACATAGCACGTAATTTATATAAAATACTTCATATCTATGTGTAAGATGAAAGTAACTATGCACTCACTTGATAAGGTAATGATTCCAACTTGGACAGCGCTTCGGTTCGACGAAACCGGAAGGTTTGCTTGAAAACCGGGCTCTGCAGGGGCAGAGCTTCGAGCCGAAAAACTCTTTTTCTCGGAGCCTTCGGGCTCTCCAGGGCTTTCTTCTAGTTCTAGGAAGATTCTATGGGCTGGGGAGTGTTTAGAGAAAGAGTTGAGAGAAGTAGAATGGGTTTTGGTGTGAAAAATGAAGGAACTCTCGGGTGGTATTTATAGGCTGGAAAAGTGGTGAACTCGTCGAGTTTCTGGCCCAACTCGTCGAGTTTCTGGCCCAACTCGTCGAGTTTCTGGCCCCCAACTCATCGAGTTTCTGGTCCAACTCGTCGAGTTGGTGCCACTTGTCGTCATCTAGTGGGGAGAAAGTAAGGGCTCAGATCGCCCCACGTCACCCACTTCGCAGCAACACCATTCCGACTTCTAAACCCCGTAACTTTCACATACGAACTCCATTTTCGACATTTTTTATATCCACACGTAGGTGGGAACGTGGTCTACAACTTTCATTTAGACTTTGTTGGCTAATTTTGACTTTATTTTTAATGTTATATTTTTAACAGGTCGTGACAGGATAAGTCCGTTAAAAAATCATAACTTTGTCATCCGACGTCCATTTTCGTCTGTCTTTTTATCGTTGAGCTCCTATTAACGAGATCTTCGATTCTCGTTTAGGTTGTGTCGGCTAAAAATCGCTCGATCTAAAATTTAAACTCCAGGCTACACACTACTATGTCAAATCTTAGAAAATTCATAACTTTCTCATACGGAGTCAGATTCGGACGTTCTTTTTATGTACGCTCTCGGTTTAACGTGTACTACGACTTTCGTTTAGATCGCTAAAGTTAAAAAGCATTTTATCGTAAACTCACTTTTTACGTCACACAACGTCGTGTCGGTTTTGTCGCGAAACTTCGACAAGTCATAACTTCTTCGTTATAACTCGGATTTCGGCGTTCTTTATATCTCCGAAATCCTTGTGACGACCACTACAACTTTCTTCATAGATATCGAGTTTATCTATATTTTTATTTTTTGCGCTTATTTTCATTCTTAATTTATTATATCTTATAAATAAGTTTAATGTACATAAATTCATATAATTCACATAACATTCAAATAATTCTTCTTTATTACTTCAAGATAAGTTACATTTGTTGACCCTAACTATTACATCATCGTATCAATGCTTAGCCTCAAAACACGGATGTTATAGTGTCAAACATAAAGATCTAAAGTTTCATGGACTGATGATCGATCTCTTAGCTAATGTCAAACTGTCGATTGCAACCTTGCAATGTTCTTCAAAGTTCTTATGAGACTTGGAGCGGCGACCTAGCGGTGCTGGCCTAACGGTGGCTAGTGGTCATTGTCATCGTCATAGATTGCATGAGTGGTGAAATTGGGAACGGGTATGAGGAATCCACGATCGTAATGTCCGTGGAGTGTGTAGGTCGAGTGGTGAAATTGAAAAGTGAAAAGTGTGTGTGAGTCGTGACGGTCGATTGGTCAATGGAGTTATGACTATGAGCGGTGAAAAGGGAAAGCCTTAAAAAGGGCTAAAATTTCTTTTATTTTAGGGAAAATTACTTTAATAGATAACGAAGTTTCCAAAATGTTTAAAAAATATCATTGTTGTTTTTTTAGTACAAGAAATACCATTAAAGTATACTTTTTGTACATAACGAAGTACACATGTTCAAATAAAACCTTATGGTAACAGGTTACTTCAAATAAACGGAAAAATGACTTAAAAGTGTAATAAAGTTTTCAAAATGTTCAAAAAATACCATTGTTTTTTTAGTACAAAAAATATCATTGAAGTATACTATTTGTACACATAATACTAATGAAGTACACATTTTAATATAAAAAATATCATTGAAGTTTCCAAAATGTGCAAACAAGATCATTGTTGTTTTTTTAGAACACTTTTTGTTAACCACATTGTTGTCGGATTATGTAAAACACAGTCATCAGAGATCATGCACCGTGATATCAGTTCACAACAGTTTGCACTCTTTTTTATTCCCTCACTCGATCGTTCTTGCGGTAACATGAGAAGTAAGTGGGTAAAAGAGAAACAAGATTTTTTAAATGTGGATGTAGAGAGTATGAGTTGCTTTTAATTCTTCGGGACCGATGAGGGATGAATGGTCAGCAACACTCAACATCATGTGGTTGAGTTGATGACAATTTGTAGTCAAAGCAGAGAGGAGAAGCATATGTGTCGGAGCACTTGAACGACTTGCATCCTAATCGATGAATTCTTAGTTGTGTTTTTCTATGATGGTATTTAGATACAAACCGATTGAGTGAGAGAATGAAAGAGAGTGCACAACCGGTGTGAAATGGTATGACGGTGAATGTTCTTCGGCGACTGTGTTACATAATCCGGAAACAACGAAGTTAACAAAAGGTGCTCTGAAAAAACAACAATGATATTTTTTTTGAATATTTTGGAAACTTCGATGGTATTTTTTTTTGTACTAAAATGTGTACTTCGTTGGCATTTTGTGTACAAATTGTATACTTCAATGATAGTTTTTGTACTAAAAAATCAATGGAATTTTTTAAACATTTTGGAAACTTCATTACCCTTTTAAATCATTTTTCGTTTATCAAAGTTTTATTTGAACACATGTATACTTCGTTGGTATTTTTTGAACATTTTGGAAACTTTGGTACCTTTTTAAGTCATTTTCCTTTTATTTTATTTTGAATATTTAATATTTTTATTTAATAAATAAATTTTTTTTTGAACGACAAATGTAACCTACTTTTATTATATTACTCATAAATTCACCTATGTCGCTAACGAGACTTGAACCCTCAACCTCAAGGAGGGAGGACAACACTTGATACCGTTGGACTATAAATCATTTGGTAAATAAAATATAAAATATATTTTTTAGTTAAATAATTAATGTAATTTGGTTTGGTCTAAACTTCATGAGACCAAAAACCAAATTCAAAATTTGGTTCGGCCTCGAACCGAACCAAACCAAAAACCGAATTTGAATATGGTTTGGCCTAAAATCAATTTCGGTTCGAATTGGTTTACGGGTTTTTCTCCGACGGCTACTATTGTGTGTAAAATTCTATGTTATATTATGTTAGTCTGTTAGTTAAGTTTGCTGAGAAAAAAAAAAAACACTCATTCAATTGATCATACCTTTTTGCACTGTGCGTAAATGTGTAACATGCAAATTTCCTCAAACAATGACTAGCCACCTATTATTTCATTGCATCCAAAAAAATAACCAAGAACCATACTTACTGCTTTCTATCAAAGTAAAAAACTTCACATGAATTCACCACTCGCTCACTCAAAATTGTATGTCTTCACCCCATCTGAATCGATACAGCTTCAAGACTTGATAATGCTTCATGACTCTCTACCTCTCTGTTCAACATTATATAAACCCAATTTAAACTCAACAAATAATATCCTTAAAAACCACATAATACCAATGTACTTCATTTTTCACCCATAATAGCAATGTACTTACATTTTATTTTACCAAAATTACGTAACCCATAATAACAAATTACTTACAATTCTTTTTACATAATACCAACATACTTACAATTCCTTACCTATGCTTTCATTTCTTTACCAATCAATTATTGCAATAACTAACATATAAACTACATTGCCTTTATTGGTACCAAAAATGCAACAACATTGGTATTATGGGCAAAAAAAAAAATTTAAGTAGGTTGCGAATATTGGTAAAAAGTCCCTAATAAATTTGAAAGAGAGAGCACATACTTGCATGTCTTTTTGTTGTGACCCAAACCCTTGCATTTACTACACTGCATCTGCCTTCTAATCAGCTCAAGCGACCCCGCCTGTTTGAGCTTTGCCCGCCTACCTGGCTTGCCAGGCGGACGTTTAGCAGGAGGAGGTGTGACAACAACAACCGCCACGTCATTACCATCTACCGGATGTTGACCTCCTTCCACATCAGGTATCGGATAAATGGACTCCGCATACGTTTTCCTATAACTCTCGGCCATAAAATACCTGGAACAATAATCATACACGCTTCTACCAATACACTCAAAAACCGCAATCGCATGACAGCATGGCAGTCCAGTCAGCTGCCAGCCTCTACAGCTACAATCCCATTGACTGATGTCAACTATCTCAACAACACCTTCACCATGCACCTCAAACACACTGCTCTCTGATGGCAACACCTGAAACATTCCCGCTTTTGAAGCTTCCGTTTTAAGCTTTTCCTCCATTGATGGAGTCAAAGTTGTAGTCCATCTGTTTGAGTCGACTCGTCTTTTATAAATCAACTCCATTAATTTCCCTCTTAATAAATCGATCATGTGGGTGATTGGTAACTCAACAGCTTCAGAGACCCAGCTATAAAACAGCTGTCCGAAATTAGATGTGATATGATTATATCGCGTTCCATCAAAGAACACATTCGCCCAATGTTGTGGCTCACTATTGAGCACCCAATCGTATGCTTCGGGTGATATTGCTTTTATATCTTGAACACATTGTTCAAAAGCTTCAATCTTTGGTGCGTAGGCTGCAGCGTATAGATCTTGAACCATCAAACGTCTCGCTTCATGTGAAAATCTTGTTTTTAAATCGTTGTTGAGTTTTTCAGAAACGTATCGAAGACAGTATCCGTGAAAGCACTCGTTTCCAAACACCTTAACAATCGACTCTTTTACCCCCGGGTTGAAATTCGCAACGAATGTGATGGGTTGAGATATGGGAACGCAAGATTTCAATTGGGATAAAAACCAAAACCAATTATCATCATCGTTTTCATCATCAACAACAGCAAAAGCTAGAGGGAAAACACCATCATCACCATCTGCTGAAGTAACTATTAACAAAGTCCCTTGATATTTCGCATCGAGTGGGATGTCATCTAGAAAAAGCAAAGGGCGACATCCTTGTTGAAACCCTAAAATAGACGCGTGAAACGAGACAAAAAAACGATGGAAACTTGAATCCGGTTTTGTGTCGAATGTAGCTAAGCTACCCGGATTTGTTTCCATTATTTTTTCACAGAAAAAGGGTAATTGGGAATACGATTGGGAATATGAACCTTGAAGCTGTTCTTTTGCGATTCCTTTCGCACGCCATGCTTGCGAATAGTTTAACTTGACACCATATTCGCGTTCAATGTCAGCGACTATATCTTTGGGTCGATAATTCGGGGAATTTTTTAATTTTTCTTTTATAATATTTCCCACCCATCCTTTTGTTGCACGATACCCTGCTTTTGCAGTGACACCTGTACACGTATGCTCAGGGTTCATTTTCTTGATGCGAATCAAATGAGTTGTTTGTAGTCTTGAAACGTATATACGCCATGGACACCCTTCCGATTTACATTTGACACTCACACGATGACTATCTGATTTTTTGTATTTGTAACGAAATCCATGGGCGATTGAGAATTTATGGAGGGCTTCACGAAACTCAGCAAAACTAGAGAATCTTTGTTCTACACCTGTTATTGTGTTTTCCCATTGTGTTGCAGCTTTATGTTGTTTTTCCCAATTTGAATTCAGAGGAAATGGAAATGGTGAGATTGCAGTTTCTATGATGGGTAGATTGAAGGAATCGGTTTCAGTTGTGTTTGTGTTTGTGTTTGTGTTTGGGTGGTTATCTGTGTTGCTTGTTGTTGTGAGAATAGGGCTAGATGCAAGAACAACTGCTTCGGATACTGTTGTCCTGCTTGATCTGTAATGTCAGTTTTGTAAGAGTACGTATAAGTGATCATCACTCAAGCAAATGCAAAAAATTAGTACGATTATTGTATGTTCCAAACAAGAACTATTAAGCATACTAAATGTGCAAAAGTCAAAACTAACATTAACAGCTTTAAGATTATGTTATTAAAGTATATGAACAACTTAAGCTAACAAAAATCAATTAAGCATACTAATTAGTTCCAGAAACAGTGGTCATCTGGCTAGTTGTTTAGTGTAGTAGTAGCACTAGAGTTCATATAGTAAAAAAGATTTGGAATTTAAGCTTCGAAAAGGAAACATCTGAGTATCTTGCAAGAAAAAACTAAAATGAATGAAAGAAATAACAAGTGTTAAACTACCTACTAGCAGTAGCAGGCATGTTGGAGAGATTTGGGGCTACCCTGCCACTTTCATTTGGCATGACAAAGACATCAACTTGATCAGTGTCAGCAAAGAAGTTAATCATGCGCTTAAGATCTTTGTCTTTAGATATCATGATAAGTGTCTTTTTGTTTCCAGGGAGAAAGTATTTGATAAACATGTTGTCAACACTGTATCCAAATGTTTCTGCTAAATCCTGTTTGAAATCAATTACTTGTGTATCTATATCAAGATCAACAGCATATGCCTCCCCACCACTGTACGACATGGAACCATCTTTTTCAGTCTGAAATTCACCTCCAGACTGGCAAATAGCTATAATTTTCTTTGCTGACATTGAAATATGCAGAGGCTAATTCAACAAAAAGTTATCTGCCAAAGAGAAGAAAGAAGCTTCAGCTCATACTTCAAGAAATCTATTCTATTTATCTTTGGGTGTAAAAGTTTACATACGATATTAAACCTTAATATGTTAGAATGATAGTTGAAACTTTTGAGATTTGAGAGTCAAAAAGATTATCAATCCCAAAAGCAAAGGTGTTCAATAACAAGTTTAATCTTATTTACTGCAAATCAATCTGCACAGTGAAGGCAACTGTGGTTTTTTTAATCAACAAACTGTCAGATTAGCGATAGAATTGGACAGAAAACTCAATTTCATTCTCAAAAGTCTCTATATAAGTTTAGTAAGCTTTCCTAAGCATCAAGGTTAGAAGCAACCACTAAGAATGTCAGAGAAGAGACAATTTGAAAATTGTGAACTTTGAGAGGCGAAAACGAGAACTTGGGAAAGAAAAGAGGGGACTTTAAAAAAAAAAAAAAAAAAAAAAAAAAAAAAACAGATGATAAAAAGGGGGGAAACCGATAAACCCATACCACAAGTTTTTGAAAAACATAGCAAAGGTATTCAATTAAACCCTACATACATACTACATATAGTGAATCGTTTATTAATCGAGATTAGAGAAAAACGTCCAGTATCCATATCAGAACACTTAATCAACAAGGAATCAAACTTGGTGCTGTTTTGGTAAATTGAAATAACCGAAGCAAAAAATAAGAACAAGAGAGAGGAATCACCTTAGGGTTTTCGAACTAAAATCAATCAGTCTTCAAGCGAATTATATGATACTGGTAAGAGCAGGAAGGCAAAGAGGGATTAGATGAGGGCGATTCCGTTTCAGTCGCTCAACTGAGAATCATTCTTTTGATTTTCTCTCCGTTGCCCCAACTACCCTTCTCGTTTTGCACCTTGACAACCTACATTTTTCTCTTTTCTACAATTACCCACAAATCTTTTACTATTGTAAATAGACAAAACTGAAAAAATGTCCGGTGGATAGTCGAAAATTATCATTTTGGTCCAAAATGGTTTGAACTAGCACCAGAGGTCCAAATTTTTTATTTTGTTGCAAGTTTTGTCCAATTTATTTTGAACTTTTTTATAATGACGATTTTTCCCTTGATATTTTCTTTTTTCAGTTTTTTAATTACTTTAATATTTTTCTTATTAAAAGAAATATAAAAATTTAACCCTCAACCCACCATCTCACTTTTAACATACTAACTCTCTTCATCTCCTCTCTCTTCATTAGCTTCCGGAGCACCACCATTTTCGTCGGTGCACCATCGTCCTACCACCAAAACCACCTCTGACGCTAGAGTACCACTGTTGGTGCCACCCATTTAGACGCCCCCCTTTGTCTTCTTCATTTTCCCCATATGTGTTCATCTGAACAAGCTTCAACAACAACGAGGGGAGATCGAGAAGGGGAGCAAGGGGGAAGGAGTGAGAAACCTCTGTCGGACCACCACTATATGCAAACCCTTACTCCAGATTTGTAAACACCGCCACTGTTTTGGTCGAAAATTGATCAAATGTAATTCAACCAAATTGTATGAGAGGTTGTGGTGTTAGGATAGTACAAGTGTATAATGATAATTAAAGTGAGACAAGTGAGTTACAAGGAAACCTATTTATCCTTTATAGAATCTACGGCATAAAACCTTGGGAGGTGATAATGATCACCTGCCTTGTTGTGTTTTATTGATTTAAATCTGAGATTACAAAGATAATGAAGATAATGAGTACAAGTGTAATGGTAGAGCTCATTGTGTGTAGTGTGCGATTTACAGGTGTTATTTATAGTCTAAGTTAATCAACAAGAAGTTCGATATTTTCGGGGTCCTCCTTAAACAAGTATTTGCACATTGTTTGACTTGGTATTCCCGGGTCTTAAGCTTGGTTGAAGTGACTCTCCGTTGAGAATGAGTCTTGTGTTGACTAATTTTGCACATGTGAGAAAAATAAAGAAGAATATAGTCGTTATAAGTGTTAGGAAATATTAGTATTAATAATCAGGATCCTAGGATATGTTTAAAGATCCCGAGGATTCAGAAATATTAAGGATCTCGAATATGATTCTGGGATCCTGCCTCTAACAATTGCCCCCAAATTATACCTGCAAAATATTAAGGTTAGTTTTTAAATATTTAGAGGTATAATTTAAAAAATAAAAGACATACGAAATTTGAATTTCAAACCCTAATCGGATAGGTTTTATCCGTTTCATAAGCATCATTGTTTAGTCAAATCACGTTCTCTCTCTCTTTTGACACTTAGGTTAAATAGGGGTAATCAATTTAATTTCCTTTACATTCCCTAATACTTCTTACGATCATCTTCGGCCACCTTCACAGGTAATTTCTTTCTCTTATTTTTCTTTTCTTTTTCTCTTTTTTCGATCATGGACAAGAAGGCGACCCGTTCTCGTGCCATCATTACTGCCCTTCTCGAAAACGACTTCATTGATCAGGGGATCGTAGCCTATGATGAGGTCTACTCCTTTGACGACGAAGACATGCAGTCTCTCAAAGCCAATGGAGTTTTTCCCTCCGATGTAATCTTCAAGTCCTTCGAAGCTTCTATTCAGCCCGATTTCATTTCTCCTTCCTGTGTATGCTTCCTTGAGTATCCCTTTTCTTTGGGTCTCAAATAACCTTTTTCGGGCACCGATTTCTTTCAAGCCACCAAACTTTCGTATATTCAAGCAATGCCCATCATCTGGAGGATTTTATACTGGATCGATCGAATGAATCGTTCCCACAATTTGGATATATGCCTCGCCGAGTTGGCTTATGTTTATGATCTTTCTACTTTTGGTAATTCTCGTTCTCTGTTTAAGGTCAAAACCAACTAATGCCCTCTTATTCTGAAAACCAATCATAATGATGGAGCCTGGAAGGAGAAATACTTTTTTGTGAGGCGAGACTCTATTGCTGGCGGGGATCTCTTTCCCAAAGCTTGGGTTCAGAAGGGTAGCATCTATTTATTAATCTTGAGGATCCAAAAATTTATTTTTCTTATTTTGTTCATCTTGATGCAGGTTACAAGTTCAGAGAAACTTTCCATGTTGCTGAGGATACTGAGGATAAGGTTAGGCGTTTTCTTGCTTTATCTGCAGACGTCATATCATCCAAACTTAAGTCTCCTAGCCTTCAAGAAGGTTCATCTACCACAACTTCAATGACCATTGGTAAGGATTCTTCTCAGTGGTTTTATCTATTTTATCATTAGGATCCTGAACTTATGGGGATCCTTCTTAATATGTAGGATCCAAAAACACTTGTTCTAGTGCTCGATTCGTTATATATGAGCTTGAAGACAACATGTTCAGCGGCTTACTCATGATGAAGAAGGAAAAGATTCTCCCCTCTCTTCCTCACAAGAAGACTCAGCTTGATCTTGTCGTGAAGACCCCAGCATATTGCAAGAGGAAGTCGTCTGATTTTTGGGATCTTAAGAATGTTGGAACAGATGAGGTGCTAAAGAAGTTGATATCTTTTTCCCAATTCGTAAGCATTCTCGTGTATTTTTCATTTGATTTTATCCCCTACTTATAGTTTCCCTTCTTAGGTCGTTGATCACATTTCTTGCTCCCATGAGGATCTCAAGGTCAAGTTTGCTCAAATAGAGTATGCTTTGAGGGAGCAGAAGGGAGTCAACAAGGAGCTCTTGCAGAGGGTGGAGAAGTTGTCTAGGGAGAAAGCTGAGAAGGAAAAGGAGCATGTGGCTGAAATGGACGATGTAATTGCTGAAGTGAAGGTGGAGAAGTTGTCTAGGGATCCTTGAATGTGGCCGGATGGCGTAAGGCCCTACGCAAATTGACTTGTGAACCTGTTGGTGCCGATCAGGATCCTGCATCGTAACCAAAGGAAGAAGGAAAGAATACGGAGGTGGCTCTGGGTGGTGGTTGTAAATCCATAAAAATCATGAAAATTTTAAACTTTTAAAACCAGCCCAAAAATCACAATTTTTTTATAATATAGTCTTCAAACATGTTTAATATCAAATTTTTCCCCAAAATCATAAATCAAAACACGAGGAGGTGCATGATCACGCCTTCGCCTTCCTGCAATCATCTGAGGTACCTGAAACATAACCCAAACTGTAAGCCCAAAGCTTAGCGAATTCCCCCAAAGTACCAACACACTAATGACTAACACATATACAAACAACATGCATACAGAGCCTTCAGCATGACTGGACCGCCTTACAGGCCTTCAGCCTCTCTGGACTGCTTACAGGACCTTCAGCATGACAGGACCGCCGCACCGGTCCTTCAGCCTATCTGGACCGTCCTCCGGGCCTTCGGCCTAATTGGACCGCCTCGCAGGGCTTACAGTCTATCTGATCCGCCCTGGGTGTCTTGGCCTTCAGCATAAAGCATGACCGCCTCAACCCAACCAACCATCACATATCAACATGTAACATAATCAACCACAGTTAGCATATACCGGCAAACATACAGATCTAACAGATCACTACAACATAGCAACATCCTATCTACCAGGATACAGATCTAACAGATCACTACAACACACAATCATACGATAAACCAGGATAACAATCCAAAGGGCCGCCCTTGGTGCCTTCGACCCGTAAGTACAGTGTAGAAAACTCACCTCGCACTTCCGAATCTCACAGAAAGAATCTATGGTCGCTGCCTCGTTAAAATCCTCGTGCTACAAATCACCATAATAATCATCCATCAATAATCGGATATGGTCCACACTAATTGCCCAAACTATGGTAAAAGACCTTTTTACCCTTTACTCAGCATGACCCAAACCTAGGCCTAAACCAACAATCCAAAGGCCCAAAGTCCAATTAAACCACTCAGGCCCATACATGGCCCAGTTTTCCAAATTGGGTCCAAACCCCTACATGGGCCTTACCCTACGGCCCACTAATTTTTCCTACTCCAAAATCTTACATTCAGGTGGCCCAACAAGGCCCCAAGCCACTAAGCCCAAAGAATAGCCCAAACCTGAAGCCCAAACATGCGAAGTCCGCCAGATTGAGTACGCGAGGTGTACTCAGCACCTACGTGCAACGTAGTCGCTTGAGGGCTTGTACGCTAAGCGTACCTACTTGTACGCCCAGCGTACTCACCCATTCAGCCCAAAACTTGATTTCAACACTTAATCCCTTAAGACAGAGCTCCAAAACATATATCTGACTTCCTTGAGCTGGATTATCACGTAAAGTTGCTAACTTTACATTCATGCATGGCTAAATGAAACTCTTAAGCTTAAAGAGGACTTAACAAGTGACTTAATGCATGCATGTGACCAAAAATCCCATAAAGCTTGCACCTTTATGCTCAAGGAGTCCAGAACAAGCCCTTAAAACGTCTTAACTCTTCAATCAGCCCAAAATGGGACCAAAAGCATAACAAAACAAAATATGAAGAGATCTAAACATCTACAAGACAATGTATGAACTTGATACCTCAAGGAGATTGCAACAAGTGAGATGATTCTGGATCTATGACCTTCCTTCCAAGCAAAGCACCTTAAATTTTCAAAGTTTCCTTCACAATGAGTAAAACACCCACTAAAATCCTCTTAAGGGCTCAAGAACACCACCAAGAAAGCTTAAGGGACGATTTAGGGTTTTATGAGGTTTGGGGGTTGCTAAAGAGGCCATCCCTAGGGTCTTAAGGTGTTTATATATGGTACAACACACTTAAATTAGGGTTTCTTGAACTCCTCGTATCCCCAGCGTAAGAGGCCGAAGCTTCGCGACCAAACTGCTAACTACGCTCAGCATACACCAAGGTACGCCTCGCATAAGGGTCCTCACACGAGTATGCCCTGCTTACTCCCCATGTACGCCCCACGTACTAGGGTTTTTCCCCAAAACCCTAAATTATTCCGAAGGCCATAACTTCTTCACTATAA